GGTGCAGACAACTGCGTCGAGGTTGGGGCGGAATGGCTGACAAGACCTCTGAGGAGGTCATTGGATGCAGGCAGAGCTGGTGAATGACATCATCCACCAGGAGGCCATGCTCAATCTCCAATGACTCGTCCAGGTCGTTGAAGTCGGGAGGAAACAGGTGTGGCAAGGAGGGTATGGCCGCGACGACTGACGGGTCAAAGTAGCCGACACCGTGGCTAGCTCGATTGGTCACAATGAAGTGCAGAACCCACAGGAGGCTCTCCGCGGCCTGCACACAGCCAGGACTCGGTTGCGAAGAGGTCTCACTAGAATAACAAAAAGAATTATAACAAACGCTGCAGCATAAAAGGGGAGATGAAACAGTCATAGGAGGACAATAAACGAAAGAAAAACTAGGAGGATTTGGTTGAACTAGCTGCAATCTGGAAGCAATCACGTAGTTAAATTGGGCAAAAAGGCTAGAACGATGGTATGGAAGTCAGAGGCCAAGTAGATTCCTTGCCTAAGGTGCAGGAACGTGACCACGCACCGCAGAGATCGACTGCGAACTACACGCGGGAAATCAGCTAGTCAATCACCTTCTGCTGCATAATCAAACAGGAGTGCGGTTTTGCTCGCCCTGGGCAGTAGCCTGCCGAACATTTGAGGTATTTCAACAAGAAGAGCATCGCTCAAGTAAATAGTAATTGTTTGAATTCGGAAATGATGGCCATATAAAAATTCATGAATTCAAGTTAGCAGGAAGAACGTTTTGATTAATTCATCATCATGCGAATACAATAATATAAGGGAGGGTAGAGTTAACAAAAGTTTAAGCAACCAGTCAGTAGGGAAAGAGGTGTTAAAGGATCAAAGGGGTCAGACTCTAGTCATGGAAGAAGATACGATGGCTAGAACAAGGATTTTATTTCCCTAACGGTTTGGATTCTGTCAAGAATGCTTAATCATGGGTAACCGTAGGATACTACGAGACATGCACAGATTGCGCGGTAATTATCAGCTACTTTAACAACCGCTTGGGGTCGCAGTTGCTGCGGTGATGGCTTGCTCATAAAAAAGAAGATGCCATCTATGGAACAAGAATTTTCATTTTCCTGACGTCACCGCACCAATTAATGTTGTAACGACGGGTTCAAGCGTCGCAAGTGTTATAACGATGACATCTGCTGTGTGTCACCTTCGAATTACGCCCTGTTGAAATCCCCAAGGAAGAACACAATAAGAAGGGCATAATTCTGGAATCCACATGGAGGAGGGGCTATTGTGCACAAAACCCGGAGGAGCTGTCTCCGGTGGCTGTTGCCTCACCTCGGGGGCAAAGACCCGGCATTGGGAACGGACTAACGTTGCCTCGCGTCCGCTGTCGCAACTCTCGCCATCTACTCGGGACACTGGTTTATAAGAGATTGTCTGCGCGTTCTCTTGTGGCCTGATTGGCCGCATTGGCT